AATTAGTAAATGGGAAAATATTGATGAAAGTTTTCAGCCTCTTTTTTAATTTTTTTTGAAAATGAATACAAATATAAAACTTGCTCTGATAAAATATTAATCGTTGATTATCAATCTGGAAATTGATAAAAACGTGAGAATTTTTTTGTACAGATAATCAATGTATAAAAAGTTAGAATTTCTTTTCTTCTTTTTTTTTCATAAAATTGCTACAAAATGGCGAAATTGTGCATCGTGTATCTAAAACTTTAACTTATGAATTTTCTATTCATAAATTAAAACGTATTAAATAATAAATTCTAATATATTCTAAATTATAAAGAGAGTTAAACAAACGACGAATAGCTTCGCCATTTCACAATATTCACAATATCTTTTGAATATAAAAAAGAGAAGAAAAGAAAAAAAGTCAGAACGAAAAACTCGCATCGCTATTTTAACACTTCTCATTTATACAAATACCTACGTCAAAAATTCTCACATCTCTATCCACATCTTTTACCCATTCAACGTAACCTCAAAAATTCCACTTTACACAAAAACGATACACGCACCACGAAAATTCTCCGTGATACTAACTCAAAATAATCTTAAAAATTCTATTCTACGCAAAACGATACGCGCATCATAAAAATTCCATCCAACGTATCAACTCAAGATAATCTTAAAAATTCCATTCTACGTGAAACCGAAACGATATAATTGCATCGTGAAAATTCTCCATACGTATTACGTACCAATTTAAACCTAACCTTAAAAATTTCATTCCACCATGAAAGCCAAAGCGACGTTTGAACGTATCGTGCACGCAACGAAAATCGTGAAAAATTCTGCTGTATCGCATCTCCTGTTTCGTCCTTGGGAGGCAAGGTAGCGTGAAATTCGCGATTAATTTCTCGCGGGTGAGTTGGCCGCGATCAAAACGAGTCAACGACAGGACGATAAAATCCGTCCGAGCTCTCCCGTGCAAATTTCACTCCTCCTCCTTCTCCTCCTCCTCCTCCTCCTCGACCCACCGATGACGTTTCCACTCCCCTCCCCCTCTCTCCTCGACGGTTGGCGAGCGGTGCATGCCGGTTAAAAGATCCCTCTGCCACTCCCGTTTCCCGGAGAGGCCGCGCCATATTCGTCATAGGTTTACGCCAGCGAGGAATGACGTCATCGAAGAAGGAGATGGGTCACGGGTGCAGTGACACGCATACCTACGTGCCGCCGCGAGACCCGATTTGAACGTATCAACGAAAACTCGAATTAAAATCGATCCATATCTATCCTCTCTCTCTCTCTCTCTCATCACGGGGACGATTTGCTTCTAACCATTCTGCTTCTCTCTCTCTCTCTCTTTCTCTCTCTTCGTTCGCTTTCCGCACGAAACAAGAACAAACTCGCGCTTTCTCTCTAATTAAATTGAAAATTACGCGATATTTCGCCACGGAGGGGGGGGGGGGCGAAAGAAAGAAGGGGAGGAGAAATCTCGATATTAATTTTCAGCGACGATCAAACGAAGGGAAGGAGAGTGGGGAGAGAAGGAGAGAAATAAAAATAACGAGCTCGAGACCCACTTTTCGAATTCCAATTAGTTTCCACGATATTTAATAAGTGTTAGAAAAACAGATTCGTGTAGGGATAGGATGGAGGCAGTGAAAAGTTTGAATCGTTTATCGTGTTTTCTCCACGTTATTGTGGAAACGAATCGAATCTACGAATCGAAGGATCGAGAATGTTCTTGGGGATTGGAAGAAGGAGAAAGAGAAAGAGAGAAAGAGATAGATACGAAGAGAGAGAGAGAGAGAGAGAGAAATCGCGTGATCGTGTCTAATATATTTTTTTTTTTTATTCCCTCTGCGCCCCATCGATCTCTATTGCTCTATCCTTCATCTCGATGATACGCGATGATATCTCTCGTACCCTTGTGTCGTAGATACGCATCGTGCGCGCGCGTGCATACATCGTCTTTCGAGGTCGATTCATTTTCCTCGCATGTATTACAGAGTGGAAGGTTTAAAGTTTCGCGGAACTGGATCCAATATCAATTTGCTCTCGAGTTGGAGGGAGAAGGAGGGAGGGGGGATCGAGGAAAGCGTACGTACTACGAAACAACCGTTCCACCTAGCCGATTTAGTGGAGGGTGCTTCGACGAAACTGAAGTTCGAAGCCGCCGAGGATATAAAACCGCGAGTGTACGAGAGTAAACGTGGCAACTATGTCGCCATCGACGAAACATTCGTGGCGCGCAGAGTCGTTTCGCGAATTTATTATACGGTTAATAATAATATGCGAGCAAACGAAGTGGAAATTGCGAATTGTTCAAAATCATAGTTAGTCGATCATTATCGAAATGATAGTATTAATTTAAATTCAAATTTATATTTCGTGTATTTGACGTAAATTAAAAATTGCCAGTAAGTTTATTAACTTTATAATTAACCTCTATCTGGGATCTTGGTGTGCTTATCGAGGCAATAATATTTTTACGTCCTCCATTGATGTTCTCTGTGAAACGGATTATACGTCTCTTATTCTACGGATCTCAATATCGTGGAAGCTGCTTAACTTAATTAGCAAAACTATCGACTCGATCTTCCCTTTTAACATCTTTGTGTAACTCTATACCTACTATACCCTTTCTTCTCGATAATCGTCCTTGTAACACGTAAACACGCGTAACGAGAAAACATTGCTTCCATTTAATTAGGAAAATTTAATCATAAGAAATATATATATATATAT